AGACAGCCTTAAAGAGTCAAAAGAGAATTTGGCTGAGATGGAAAATGCTTAAAAACAGATAACTGATTATTTAGTAACCACAGGTGGTCAAGACTTCATTTCATATCACATTTGACGCTCAAGCTACATTCTAGCCAGCAGAAGTAGCATGCAAGCAGATAGAAAATGAACGCCCAAGTAGCTACCATAGGGCTCCCTTGCCGGCCCACACACTGACACCCCATTTGTCTTCAGACCCCTCTAGTTCCTTCCAAGGCCCACATATCCTCATGTTAACTGACATGAGGACATATGCCAGATAGTTTCTTAAATCATCTAATAAATCCATCTATACCAGAACTATTATTAAAAATGAGCCAGGCAACAGTGGCTCATGCCTGTAATCCTAGCTAATTGGCAGGATCACAGTTTGAGGTCTGCTGGGCAAATAGTTCACAAGACCCCATCTCCAAAATATCCAGAGCAAAATGGACTAGATGTGTGGCTCAAGAGGTAGAGAGGCTGCTTTGCAAGGACAAAGCCCTGAGTTTAAACCCCAGTCCCACCAACAAAATAAGTAAATAAAAACAAGCCAGAAATTATAGCGATTCTTGCTTCTCTCTGAATCTTTGAAGCAACAACCTCCAAACCCACTGAAAATAACAAAGAGGACAAGGGGAGATAGGTCATCAACAGGAAAAAGGTATAGGATAGTTTCCCTCAGACTTTCACATTGCTTTGTAACTTTTTGAAGACTAGGTGAGAATAAAATTTTTCTATTAATTACTTAGCAAGATTATGAAAACTTTATTGAAGGAAGCAGTACAGTCAGTCTTTCTCATAGACTTGTAATAATCTGTACCTGAATCTCCTACAGATTATAAATTGGTCAGTATTTTAGGAGCATACACATGTAATGTGTTTAAGACAGTCATCTATGCACATTCCACGTATAAATGAACTTGGTATTCGTGCCTGTTACAGCTGTTCAGGAGTTCCATAGCGTTAGGCATTTAGTTTATTTCTCTAAAATACTAAGGCAATAAACACAATTTCAGAAAGGAAAAATTACATCCCTATCTGGTTCAATTTCAAGCGTTAACACTTGCATACCCTGTACCTGAACAAGTCATCTTAATTCCTCAAAACCTTTGTATGGTACAGATCATTAAGCATACAGAACTTTAATATCAAGAAGTATTGTGCAACTTAAGTTTTATACTAAAAGCTTCTCTCTCTATCCTCAAGCCAGCATTACAGGACTCCCTCAACAAGTCTATTTGGTCTCTTACCTATTCAGTCAGTACAAAACAAACACCTCCCAAAGCTTTCATTTTATTTAAGAATGGAATATGAATGTCACACACACAGGTAATGAAATATGCCTTGTTTTCTTAAGTAGAGCTTTGCAAAATAAAGACTATGAAACATTCTGTTTTCAGACATATTGAATAGGGAAAAAAAGAGAATGTGTCTCCTTACTGCAATAAAAGAACCTATTGTATGAATAAGACAATGGCCTAGTATCCCAAAAAAGAAAAAGTACTCATGCTGAATTATAATACTATAAATAAATTCGATCATTTTGATAAGTGAGTAAAATACATCTTTACCAGTTTAATAGCTGAATACATCATGACTCTATTCTTTCTAAACAGTTTGCATTATTTCTTCATATTATATATTATACTGTTTTCGTTCAAAAATATCTACAAAAGAGTCACTAAGAATCAGTCTTCAATAATATTACCCAAAACATATTTATGATTTATTCATCCATATCACCTGCCATTTAGCCAATAATTGCAAATTAAGTATCTATTATATGCTAGATTCCAGAAGTATGCTTGTATGAGAAGCTGTGCCTTCAAAAAGAGACACAGTGTATACTACATGAAGGCAGCGATGAAAATGCACACATTATAATGCAGACCATGAGAACAGACATAAAGTATCACGGGTAAAAGAACAGTGCCATAGCCAATTCCACCTAGGAAATTAGTAAAAGCATTCAATAAGAGGCAAATTTTGAACCCAGTCTTGTGGGAGAAAAATGATTCAGTGAAGGTGAGATTTGAAAAGAGAGTTGTTCAGGAAGAAAGAGTAATGTTGCATCATTAAAGCCCTCTGCTATGATCATGAACATGTGTGAAAAGCTTTGCAGGCTTGGAGCTCTGAATCCATGGCAGGATGTGGCCAGGGGAAACTAAAGATGCAGACTGGTGCTAGGCTGAATAGAATTTTTTGCTAAGATGAAGACCATGGAACTGGATCCTGTGAGCATCAGGGCTCAGGTTTCAAAAGTATGATAAACAATTCACATTTTTCAAGGAAGCACATCTGGTGGAAGTTAGAAGAATGACTTGAAAGAGATTCTGATATTTTGAGATCTTATAGACAACTACTCAAATCAAGAGACATTTGAGGTAGAAATGAGCTTAGAAACCAATTACAGACATAGTAAGAGAAACTGCTTAAGTAGGTGGAACTGCTGATGTCACTAAAACTAAGGTAACTCATGTGTAACACCTACAATCACTTCTACAATAGCAGATCTCAACTTTTGGGGGTTACCAATGTGCTTGAAAACCAGATGGATACCACAACACCTCTCAGATACACACAAAAATCTCCATTCACTGCAGGAGATCCATAGATCCCAGGTAACAATTTCTGCTGCAGGTGGAGTCCCTGAGAGAGGGGCCTGTATTTTATTCAAAAGTATTCATAAAGTATTCAGCATAAAACTTAGTACACAGTTGGCAGTTCATAGATTCATTTAGTTGCATTGAATTCTACATCAAACCTGAATGGTTTTATCTGCACTAACTACCTGCATTACAACATTCCTTCGTGCCCCTACTCTGTAATGTAGTGTTTTCTCATACTTATTTTTGAGCAAAATCATTTCTTCTTCAGCTTTTCAGTATTCTTGAGTAGTAACTATTTATATTCAACCCTGCAAATGTATATTATGTCTGTACTGGCATAGGCAAACTCACCCAAGAAGCATTCTGAATTGGGTGTTCTCTGAGAGAACATTAAGAGGCAAAGGTACTATAGTAATGCCTTGCAAATGGGGAGTCTGACTTCCTTACCCAGCTGACCTTTGCATTACTTGTTTTCCCCCTTTCTTCTCCTGCTCTCACTTTTTGAGAGGAAGACGAAGAGTTATTCCATTGCATTAACATCAATTCATAGCGAAGCGGAGAAGGAAGAATGATGGAGCTTATGAATTCATTTGTCAAGTAACAATGAGAATGTCAACTGCCTATGTTCCTGTGAAATGGTGGCAATGCCACAGGTTTATGATCATGGACTCCAAAGCCAGACTTCTGGATAAACCATGGTCCTCCCACTTATCAGCTGAAATCCCGAGCTAGTCATTTTACCTGTCTGTGCCTCAGTTTCCTCAAATGTAAAACAGGAATATAATAAAACCTCACCGAATTATTGTCAAAGTTAAGATTATATAAGAAGTGCTTAAAGGCCACTGCTGGGTAAATGCTTCATATGTGTTAGACAAAAAATCCTTGGTGTGAAGATTTTTGCACTTGGTTAAATACTCAAAGAAATTTTGATATATGAAGCTTAAAATGTTTGTTTGCTTGTTTGTTTCTAGTGATACTTGGCTTGGAACTCGGGGCCTTGTGCTTCTAGGTAGGCATGCTACCATTTGAGCCACACCACCGGCCCTTTTTGCTTCAGCTTTTTTTCAAATAGAGTCTCGCGTTTTATGTCTGGGCCAGTCTGTACCGTGGTCTTCCTACCTCTGCCTCCCAAGTAGCAGGGATTAGAGCTGTGAACCAACCTGTCCTGCAGTTTAAAATACTGAAATCTAATGTGCAAATCCAAGTGTCATGTTATCCTCAGCTATTGGAAGCTATTCTTCTTCTTGACCTAATTCTACATACAGTGGTTCAATAACATGAACAACTGGATGTATTTTAGCACTAAGTATTTATAATATGCAATAATTTCCTGAAGGCAAAAAATAAGATTTAACAGAATTAGTGCCATCTTTAAAGGTAAAACAATGAAAATGGAACATACTTTTGTTGGTGTAATCAAGCTCACATTCACAGCACTGGCGTCCCTGAATAGAAAAGGTGAGGGAGGAGCGGTCACAGAAATCATCACTGAAAAGTGACTTGTACTCAAGCAGCCATGTTGCAAAGATTATGGTGGCTTTATTAGTAGCTCAGGGCTCTGCTGCCCTGCTGACACGATGACTCTCTGTACTCAAGCTGCCAAGAAGGATCCAAAACCCTTATTTGTGAGTGTGTTCTTTGGGCTTCAACAAAGGATACTATGCTGCCTTCCTTCCTCTCGCCCAGGAAGCTCTACTTTCCTGGCCTCGGTAGTGACCCAGACTTCAAGATAAAGGGCCAGAGGAATTACCTTGAGCTACATATTCTAGAATAGAATGTAACAGGAAATTAGTGAATTATCAAAACCACAGCAGGTCTGGGATTGAGTTAGAAACTAAAATTAGTGTAGCCATATTAGAAAATCATAGTCACTATGAAATATATTCTTCTACAAAATTCTGAAGACAGTAAGGAATACTGAAAACCAATCTGAGCAGAGCAAAAATGGAAAATCATTGGTTTATCATGGTGCAAATCATCAAGCTATGTGCACTGTGACTCAGGGTAGATAAACCTTTTATTAGAAAGAGTATGACAGCTAACTTTTATACTGACTAATTTCAAATATGTCACTTTATATTATTAGGTTTTCATGTTTTTCACCCTAATTAAATTTTAACTGCTTCAAAAGCAGGTTTCTTGAAAAATAGAAATGAAACCAACAAAATGGTATTTCTTATACTCCCTACTAGAAGCAATTTTCTTTCAAGAATTGTAAGAGTGAATCCTGTGTGTGGCTATTAAATAGATGATAATTATAAAGCAAAGAACTGGAGCCAAACCGTTAGAGGACGAGACTGGTGGAAAAGTGAGTGTAGGCACAATAGATCATGAGAAACCTACCATTGTGTTGTGCTGAGAAGTGGGAGTCCTAGGGCCACAAGTCTCTTGCGTCAGCAGAGAAACTGGCTGAAATTCCTCAGAGTGAGGCTTGTTGGGAAAACTCACATGCAAGGGAAGGTGAAAGGCTGGGAGCCCGTCACTCTCCTCTTCTTCCACTTTCTGTCTGCTTGTCACCATGGCTACCTCTCCATCTGCTTCCCCATACGGAGAGGCTGGTCGCTTGGAAGACATCCTGGAAGGAACAAAAGAGGAGAAAATAATGAAGCCTCCACATAAATCCTTAATGCCGTCATTGTGTGGTTAGGGCCCATTGTAACAGAAATGCCTTTCTGTGCTAGCAGAGAGCAGGAAACCATCCAAATACCACTGCAAAGCACACACAATCAGAAACAATGGCCAAGCAGGTAGCAACAGAACAGTGCTTGTTTGTTGTGAGAATAATACACTAATATAGCACTCTCTTGTATTCTGGCTTCTTAAACAAGAGAATTCACCTAAGAACACTGCATAATGAAAGACCATTCCTTTTTAAAGGAAAGAAAAATACCCATCTAGTTTTACACTTTGATAGACCTTATTGAAGACAAAACATCTATGAAAAGAAAATACTGTTGGCAGTTTAAAAGAAAAGAAATAACTAAAATTTCCTTCATCAAAAGTAAACTAAATGATTGCCATTATAATAAATTTGCATTTTCTTAAAAGTAACATTATTGTGAAATGCAGAAATATTGTTTATCAGCAAACCTCAGAGCCACTGACAAAAAATTTGGTATTTGATTAAAGCTAAAGAATTGATATGTTTTACAATCACTGTTGCTCTTGAAATATTTGAGAATTTTCCATCCCTTAACTCCCCAAATCAACAAGTTTTGGTATTTGGCTCTAATATCAAAGGTTGTAAAAAAAAAAGGTAGAAATATAAAAATATTTCAATCAATTCTGTTTTCATAACTGTATGAATGATTTAGATGTGAATTTGCAGTTATTTACTCCTTAGAATTCTCAAACAAAAGAAAAATAATCCAAAAAGGATGCTTGTGTTGATAAGCTAAGGCCTATATAGAAATGGGCTTAGACAACTGAACAAGAATTAAACATTTTTCTTTGTATTTCATTCTGACTCAGATATTATCAGAGATTAAAAATACATGACAAATACTTTTAGTTTAATAGAAAGTTCATTTTCCTTTCATGAAAAGTTTTATATAGAAATGGAATTGAGTTAAAACGTTTAATGAAAGAAAAATAAACTCTCTTGTAGTATTCACAACTTGATCTGACCTTCAAAAAGCTGTAGTTTTGTTCAACAAACAAAGAGTGTTTGTAGACTCATCCATTCTTATTCTAGACCAGTTGGATGCGAGGTGGAAAAATTTTACTAACTGCCACACCACTTCCTTCATATATAGCACAATCTTAAAGTCAAAATGTTATTTCCAAAATAAATACCTCTGATCACTGCTTAGTAGTATTATTATTACTGCTAGAAGTTACAAAGGGAAAATGTATTCAAGTATTGAAGCTGTCCTATTGAGAAATAATAGGACAGTAAAAAAAAAAAAGCCCTTGCTTATTTTTCAAATTTTAGAACTACAGTGCAACCCCCCACCCTCAAAAAAAGAAGACTCTAAAATAAAGAAAGCATATTTTCTTGTAAGAGTTTAACTCTAACATCATGACCTAAAATCTAAAACATGATATACATTGGAGAAATGCTCCCTAGCCAGCAATGCTTAGTTATAAATGGATCAAAAGTAGTAGCAATTGTTTAAAAAGATATGCTAAATAGTAGATTTGTTGATCACCTAGGAGCAGAGAAAGCCAAGGAAACCCTGGCAGCTTCCACATAAGAGCTATATAAAGGAGAAGAAGACTTGGCCATCACAGGTGAAGTATTTTCAACTGCGTCTGGTCCCATTATCAATGTGTACTCCAAATGAAGTCTAAAATATGGACAAGGATGTAAGGTTTTGGGATTAATGTAATTAGAACAGTTTTAGACTCACTGGCAGCACCATTCCTTAAACCAACTTGATAAATGATTACATATAGTAATCCCTAAACACTAGAGATATTTATCTGCAACTGCTCTATGTTCACAAGCAAACTTCTGATTCCTATATAAAGAATGCATGCAAAGAACACTCTTGAAATATTTAAGGTCTTTGTGAAGAGATTTATCAAAATAAATTAATAAAGGAACTTTTTATTATTTGTTGGTTTCACCTGTAGCTTAACTATAAGAAGATTAGGTCTTTGTTAAAAAAAAATAACCCTAGTATTTGCGGTTTGTGTAGGCATTATCATTCTTACTGGAATTAATAAATTGGTAATCTGTGGTTTCTACCACAAGTTCATGTACACTCAGTCTTTCACTGATTGAAAACTCGAGGCAACTGACAACTGCCAGTCTCTGGGTCATCAAAGCAGAAAGCTAGGTCATGTGGCCTCTGCTAAGTTAATACAATTCTATGTCTTTCAGAATTGCGACACTTGCATTGATTTCTACTTTATTAATATTTTTATTCATAATGATTATGAAAATGGAAAGTCCAAAGGTAGATGTAAGGTAGGTACCAGATAAGATGCTGGTGCTCTTCTCAAAATGTATGGACATTTCAGTACATAAATTAATTTTATATACAACTGGGTAAGCATTCTCTTTATATAACATTCCATGGAGCAAAAAGTTTAACATCTAAAATACTGAACATGGAGAAGTCATGGTACCATCCTAAAATATCACATATTTTATGTTTATTTCAGCTTCATTCCCACAGTCATAGAGAATGTTCTTAATTTATTCTTTGGTAAGTCTACTTTGAAAATATTGTTATGGAAGTTCAGGTAAAAGATTTCTTAAAGATTTATGAAGTTACAATAAAAATGATCATGGTTAAAGTTCAGTAATGAGTTACTATTTTAGTAAAAGTAAAATATGTAACAAATCATGTAGAGAGCTCTTAATCTGTGGGTCTTCATATTATTCACATTTACTATGACTCTTAGTACTTTACAAATCTTAAAGACAAAATCACCAATGACATTACATTGTTGAAGTTTTGTTCATATACCAATGGGTTCTGTCTTGGACAGAGGAAAGTTTCAACTTTATAGGCAGATTCCCAGATTCCCACATGCTGTCCCTCTGGAATGTACAGGGCTTTAATTCCTGAAACTTGCATGGTTCTGTTATATTGTGAGGGTACTTTGGAACAGTTTGGGGATCTAGATTGCTTTGTGCTCTGATGTGTTCATTCAGAGGTTATTTTTGTCATCCCTGTGGTAAATACTAGATTTATCAAAGAACAAAACTCAAACTTCAAAGAAATTGATATGAGACAGACAAATATATTCTAATGTGGCATTGCCTTGTGGAATGGATGATACACAGCAGTGGGCTTTAATTCACTTTTATGTGTGGTCAAGAAAAACTTCTTGACAGGACCGAGTCTAATTCCAGAATAAGACAGAAGTTTCCAAATCATCAAAAACTATTTACTGCCTCCTAATCTGTATGAGATACTTTTAACAATTTTTTAGATGTCAGAATCTCTACATTCAGAAGCTTATGATCTGACTCAGACTTAAAAGGGAGAAGCAGTATAGGAAGACAGTTCAGGATAAGAGCCAAATGACATTATCACAAAACACCCCAGGGCTTCACGAGAGACAAAGCATCTTGGGAATGTGTCAGAGAATGGTTGACCAGTTGGAGTTAAGGGGAAAGAAGGACAAAGAGATATCTGAATAGAGAGGGAATTTCATGTAGGAAGTAACAATAAAAGCAAAGGCATGGAGATACATTTAGAAAACAATATAAATTTAGGGTCTGAGCTTACTTAGGAAAAGGAGCAGACTGAGAAGTATGGATGAAATCCAATCTCTACAACACTCTTAGAGTTGCTGAGTTACACAAATGGAGGAAAAGAGCAATACCCTGCCTGTAAGGAGCAATTTTCTTTTGCAAGAAGTAGCTTTCCTTTACTTCTCCCTATACCATTCTGCACAGACATATTACTCTGGTCAATATGAGACAGTAATTTTAAACTACTGGGGACTTGTATCAGGTGTGATGGCCTGCATGCCTATAATCCCAGCACTTGGAAAGCAGGAGAGGTAGATTGCTAAATAATAAGACCTTTCTGAAACAAAACAGAGGCTACTAGAGTGAGTCTTTTGCTATTGAGTGAAGGGTTCTGGCTACATTATAAATTCTCTGTATGTGCAATATCCCCATTTGTGTTCAGACATGAATAGCAGACTCTGATAGCATACAGGGAGTGAGGTGCAACATAAAACTAAACTGGTGATTCTCGACACTGGTTGCACACTGTAATTATATGAAGGGGTTGAAAAGTACTGATCCCTGGATCCCACCCCCAGAAATTCTGATGTTATTGGTTCCAGACCATCAGAATTATTTAGAGCTCCCCAGGGATTCCAAGGAGCCAGCAATGGTGCCAATCATTTGTGGTAGTCAGAATACAGGCCCCCTACCCAGGATACCCCAGCCATAACTCCAAGAGCCTGTGACTATGTCACCTTGGTGAAAAAATTGGCTTTGTGGGTGTGATTATGTCAAGGATCTTGAAATAAGGCAATTATTCTGCATCTCTCTACTGGGTCCAATGTAATCACAAAGATCCTTTTTAAGGGAAAAAGACAGAAAGGTCTGATATGCAGGGAGAGATTGGAAGATACTGTGTGTTCTGAAGATGGAGGATGAGGCTATGAGCCAAGGAATGTAGATAGCTTCTGCATGCTGGGGACACAATGCTTCTTTCCTGGAGCCTCGGACAGAGACACAGCTATGCCAGTACCTTGATTTGGGGAATATTGTGGTTTTAGGACTTTTGACCTCCAGAAGTGAAAAAGAATAAATTTGTATTATTTAAGCCATGAAATGTGAGATAATTTGTTCCAGCAGCATGTGGAAACTATTTATTTAGGAATATTTACTTCGAAGTTGGAATATTTCAAATCTGAAATGCTTCTATCCCAGACATGCCCTTCCTTTGCTCCCTCATTTCATTTAGATTTCTATTGAAGCACTGTTTGCTCAGGCCAGGCATCTGTGGGCAGTCCTCCCGAACATGCCCCTCCTTCCCTCTCTCTTCACCTGATATATTTCATATTCATTTGTTTGTTTCTTACCTGTCTCTCCCACCAAAAGATCCATCAGAGCAGACTTATTTTTGTTCACAGCTACTTTCCCAGTAATTAGAA